CATGGAGGACTTTTTGATGTAGCTAACCCTCAATTTGCGTTACATGGAGAGGAAGACCACGAGAACCTCCCACGGTTAGCCTGACGGCAAGGGGATTCTAACCCATGATCCGTCTAACCCATGATATTTCACGTCGACACTGTGGTCGGTGCAAGCCGGATGCGGAATTCGTATCGACCAGCCATTGCCAGGATCGAACCCCGGTTCACCTCATTGTAAGGCGAACGCTCTATCCCCTGAACCATCACGACTCCATCAGTTTATTTATGAATATTAATTAATAGCATCTTTAGAATTTTCCCTTCTCGTCCCCACCCACTCGACCGTTGAGTTCGGTCCGGAGAGAAAAGGCCTATTAAAACATTGCATTAAATATGTTAATTAATTAGTACAAAAAATTAGCTTAATTTCGGAATCATTAAGGCAAGCATAAATTTTTTTGTTGACAGATTTAGATTTTTGACCCTCAAAATAATGACAGCCGCAATTTTTGGAAGTATGGTCCTAAGTTAANTCCGGCAAAATGAAGTTCCTAGTGCGCTTTAGCATCCAAATAGAGTCTCGGTGCTGCCATCTAGTGTGGCAGAAACTAGACGTCCAAATTAACGTGACCAACGGTATCTCACCCATTGTGGTGGTCCTGAAAGAGTGGATACCACCTTTGGAGAACGCACTAGGTCTGCTCATCGGCAAGACCGATTGTGCAAGTCCGATCATTGGAAATGAAAAAAAAAGAAATTTTCAACTCCGTAGCTTTGTAATTTTGAACCAATCCAGAAGACAAGGGAACTTCTGGATCAAGTATTGGTGAAATTTGCCTTCATGGAGGACTTTTTGATGTAACTAACCCTCATTTTGCGTTACATGGAGAGGAAGACCACGAGAACCTCCCTCGGTTAGCCTGACAGCAAGGGGAACCAATGATCCGTCTACCACTCAGGATATTTCACGTCAACACTGTGGTCGGTGCAAGCCGGATGCGGAATTCGTATCGACCAGCCATTGCCGTGATCGAACCCCGGTTCACCTCATTGGAAGGCGAACGCTCTATCCCCTGAACCATCACGACTCCATCAGTTTATTTATGAATATTAATTAATAGCATATTTAGAATTTTCCGTCCTCGTCCCCACCCACTCGACCGTTGAGTTCGGTCCGGAGAGAAAAGGCCTATTAGAACATTGCATTAAATATGTTAATTAATTAGTACAAAAAATTAGCTTAATTTCGGAATCATTAAGGCAAGCATAAATTTTTTTTTTGACAGATTTAGATTTTTGACCCTCAAAATAATGACAGCCGCAATTTTTGGAAGTATAGTCCTAAGTTAAGTCACGTGAGCTCTCGAAAGTATAACCACTGAAATGTTAATTTTACTAATTGTGCATTCAATCATATCTTGAGAAGTTTTTAAGTGGATTCAAAACTTTTTGAACAAAAATATCAAAATTAATTTTTTCCAAGATAAAATCATGTAAAAAATTTTAGTAGTTATTTATATTTTTGTTCGTTTATTAGACGAAATATGTTTGAATTGTTAGGTATATAAATGTTTACTTTATTTCAAGCTATGTAATTTTAAATGACTTTATATAAATTGAATTTTTTAAGTTAAAATATTTCTAAAAAGTCAGTATTTTCAAGTTTTTTTCTAAGCGAACTATTTGTTCGATTACATCTCTTAAAATTACTTAGTTTAAAATTATGTAAAAAATTTGCGCATTCGAAAATGTTTTAAATAGAAGATCGAAAATGTTTTAAATAGAAAAAATAAAAAAGTAATTAATTTTTAGTTTTTTTTTGCATGACTTATGTTAAGGTAAACGAGTTTTATAATTGTGTTCAAGAAGTTCTAAAGTATTTAACAAGTTAACAGAAATGGAATACAAGAGAGAAACTGTAAGGATGCAATTATTTTTAACATTGTTTACTTCTGGCCAACCATGTCTACGGCATTTTCTACTATTTTTGTTCGTTATAGTGATGGGTTTTGATTTTGCGTCTCTTTTTAAAAGCAACCCTTTAAATACCAAGAGCTCTATCGAAAGCAACTCTTTAAAAAAAAAAAAGTTTTTTTTTAAAAGCCTAATGAGGCGGGGGGATCACTTTAGCCGAGGAAGGTAATTCATCCATCGCCCTTTGATTCTGCAAGTTAGGAGTAGATATGTGGGTTTTCCAAAATTTTTTAAAAAAGAACTTTTTTCTGGGAAATTTTCTAAGCTATTAAATTATCAAGGTACTGTAAAGTTTAACTTCTAGTGAACAAAACTTAAGCATTTTCACTAACTCGTAATGTAATGCTATTTTGAGTTTTCCCCTTCCTACAAGGAAAAACAAAAGTATTAACAACGCTTAGAAATCGTGTTTTGAAAGTTTTTAATTTTTATCTTATTAATGACGCTAACACATTTCCTGAAAAGCTAAAAATGTGATTTGATCAGTTTTTATGCAATCACGAACTTGTGGTAAAAAATTATGTACACAGGGCCGTTTTATCCATTAGGCACTGTAGGCAACTGCCTAGGGGCCCCGCCACTTCCAGGGGCCCTGTGCTACGGAGAAAAAAATTGACAATGGTTCTTAAACAGTAAAAATTTAATTCGAAATTTCAATGACGATTTTCTTGCTCTGTACATTACATCGACGCTATTTTAGTACATTTCTGAACGCATTCCAAATTAGATATTAATATTATGATAGTTAGTTCATATATAACGCAGTAATATAATCGCAAGCAATTTTATCGCGGTAATTTTAACGCCGACTAATCAGATGACTATACAGCAAGAGCAGCTTTTTTAACACACCACGCTTGAAAAATCCGACGCTGAAATTAGACACGCTTGCACAAAGCTTAAAAAACATTATTTCGAGGACATTGAGCCTGAGTTTATAGACGAAATGGTGCAGTATAAATACTTCATCTTACAATTAGAAGACGCCGGGGGAAAAATTGTGCCTGCCGAAGAGTCTTACAAACTGATTATTGGTAACATGGCACAATCAACTTTCCCGAATGTAATGACAGCTTTGCAAATATATAGAAGTCTAATGATTACAAACGCCACTGGTGAACGGAACTTTTCCAAATTGAAATTAATTAAAAACTGTCTTCGTTCAACTATGTCACAAAACAGTTTAAATTCATTGGCCATAATGGCAATTGAAAATGATCTACTGGAAAAGGTTAACTTTCAGGATGTCTTGAACGATTTTGTAACAAAAAAAGTTAGAAGAGTTAATATTTAAGCTTATTGTATAATTTTTTTTAAATGCATATATTAATTACTTATATTCTTTTCGTTTGATTCAATATTTTTTATTGAATAATGTGATAATATACCTATGCAGTAAAAAACAGCGTAATTATGAATATAAAGTGTTGTGTTAGCTAAAAAATATAGTATTAGGAAGTTAGAAGACGGTAGGGGGGGCCGAGACGAGCATTGCCTAGGGGCCGCGACACGCATAAGTCGGCCCTGTATGTACACAATGAGAATTTTATCACAATTTTTTCTAGAAACACTTCTCTAATTGTCCTAACATCAAGATTATTTGACATTGATATTCTATTTTCTGGGTAACTCCTAGAACTAGAAATCATAAGGTTATATAAATCCGAGTTGCTGCTAATAAGTGAAGGTCCCGTGTCTGTGTGTTCCGTTGCAATATCATGCTCAGAATGAAAATACGAAAGCATAACATTGTCATCGCCCATCATATCACACAGCAAATTCGATTTATTTTTATCTCAATAGTGCTGCTGTTGTTATTTCTAATGACATTTGAACAAGCCAAGTTCGTCAACTATTGCCGTTTTTTGCGATTTAAGTCTGGAAGGTGCGCCTTTTGTTAGACGAGAGCACCACAAGAGTGAAATCACATATAGTCTTAGATCAGAACTCCTCAGATAGATAGCAGCATCACTCATTTCTTGCTGCTATTTTCTCAATTTATACATGGATCTGAAGAGGAAGGAAATTTTCTCCAGATCCCTGTACTGAACTGCTCAGTGATAGACCCACAGGACTTACGATTCCACAGGTTTTAAAAGCGCGTATATCGCATGTAGTGGGTGGGTTTTAGCGGAGTCGGGGATAGAACCCGGCTTCTCCAGACTCAAGTTCAATTCTCTTAACTACTGGGTTACCACGGCCCAATCTAGTGCTATTTAAACGAAGGATAATAATATTATAATTGCTGCAGCCAGAACAGTGGTGCCATCTTCTCTCTGCCACTACCTCATTATTTTATTTATCAAATAAGGGAAATAGGTGATTATTATGAAATAGGGTAAATAGACTTGTTACTAGTTGCAAATTTAAGAATAAGACAAATCTTAAGTTCAATTGAATCAAACTTAATTTTATTTATGTGGATTGCAAAGTTTATAACCTGTTAAGTTATTGCAGGAATTATGACTTCTAGTTATGGTATTATAAGAATTATAACCTGTAGTTTTTGTTTAAATAGTACATAAATTGATCAATAAAAGATAAAATGTACCAAAAGCTTTTTTTTGTCCTCTAAATTTTCGAAAAATCCTTGCAAAAGTTTACTAAAAGATTTACCATTTTAGAAAATTTTCCGCAGAAAAAATTTCTCTCTCCTCTTCTGTAGGCGAGATTTCTGTATCGTGATCTGTGGCAGAATAATCGCCAAGTCATGGAAACTTCCGGGCAGTGACCCGCAAGAAACTGAAGAAGAAAAAAATGTCACAGAAAGTTACCAACTCGAAAGGCTTAACTCGTAGCCACCCCCGGCAAACATCTACATGTTTTGTTTTTAAAAATTTGCAAGATTAAAATCTATTTGGCACCTTGGCGATTGTAGTTGGCGCGACAGATCACGATACGGAAATATCCCCCATCTCCAGTTGGGAGTCCTAGTCCTCGCCTATAGCTGCATACTCTAATACATCTTACCCCATTAGTTAAGAAAAATGTATAGCTTTAAATTTGTTGAAGCTCAACCTAAAAGTTTGTTATTATTTTTTTCAGGTACGTACATAAAAACTATATTTCGATAGTAAAAGTGCAGATTAAATACGTTCGAACCTTCAAAATGCTTTCAAAAAGTAAGAAATCGAAATCTAAAAAGACTAATATCGAATCTGCAAATTGTAAAGAAGCTCTCAAGACTAAGTCTGCAAAGAAAATGAAGCGAAAAATAACAGTTGATACAAAAGCAATGGAGAGCGAACAAATTATGGAAACGAAGTCTCTGTCTTTCAAAAATAATGACAAAAAAGATAATAAAGCTGTTAAGACAAAATCTGCAAAGAAAATTGATCGAAAAATAACAGTTGATATAAATACAGTAAAAAATGAACGAATTAAGGAACCAAGCACTGCAAGAAAAGATCGAAAAGTACAAGCTGACACAAACACCATAAAAAATGAACAATTAAAGAAAACAAGCTCTCTGTCTCCCAAGACTAATGATAAAAAAGGTATCAAGACAAAGTCTGCAAAGAAAGTCGGTCGAAAAACAACAGTTGATACAAATACCATTAAAAATGGAAAGATTAAGAAAAGCACTCAGTCACTCAAGACTAAGGACAAAAATAGTAAAAAATCTCTTTTGACTAAGAAAGTCGATCGAAAAATAACTGTCGATACTAATACCACGAAAAATGAACAAATTAAGGAAACAAGCGTGCTGTCTTTTAAGACTAGTGACAAAAGTGATAAAAAAGATCTTAAGACTAAGTCTGCAAACAAAGTATATCGAAAAATAACAGTTGATTCAAATTCCATGAAAAATGGACAAATTAAGAAAATAAGCGCTCATCCTCTCAAGACTAATGACAAACCTTCATTTTCTTGTAATTGTAAATCCAAAAGATTTTCTTTAAAAAAGTTAACTATACTTACGCCCTCTGTAAATAATTCTTCCGTGAAACGTGTGAGTCCTATCAAAATATCGTTAAAAGGTAAATTACAAATCAATAAGCCTAGTAATGCAGGTACTTTGTATGCGCACGATAAAAATAAAATAAAATTGTTGGATAATCTTGTTATTGATAGCAATGACTTAGAACGAGCAACCAACAAGGCTTCGGCTAGTAAGCATATTAGCACTCAAAAGAAAGTTCGAATAATGCATACTGGTCAAGTAGTTGACGATAAACATAATGTATTAGGAAGTAATTCTGTTCTGAAATACAGTGTTCTGAAAGACTCCGTTCTTAAAACTGGCAAAGCTTCCAATGAAACATTTGCTTGCATTGCAAAGAATTTATGTAAAAAAATGCCAGCTGATCCAATTATAGGAAGGAGTCTCAAGACTGATGATGAATATTTATCTCCATATAATACAAGATCTAAATTTATCACGATAAAAAAGCCTACTAAATTGTCCTCTGCCATAGATTCTACCCCAAGATGCGTGATCCCCATGAAATTATCTTTAAAACGTAACGTAAAATCATCTATACCAACCAAAGCTGTTTCGTTTAAAGAAGACAATCAGCCTTCAAATGATAAGCATACGAAATATGTAGGTGATAAAATATCTACTGATAAAATAGTTGGGAAATTAGCTGTTAAAAAAACGAACCCGCATGCTTCCATGATGGATAAAAAATCCTTTGCTTCAAATTCTAAATCTAAAAACTTGGCATTAAAAGAGCCAGATAGACTGTTTCATGCCGTGAAATCTCACATAAGAGCTTTAGATCATGATTTAAAATCATCCAGCACGGCTAATTCACCCGAAGGAAGGAACTCATTTCTGTTAGATATGGCAAAGAGGTTTAGTGCAAGTCAGATCTCAAACAGCCAAGCACCTACTTCATCTAAAACTATTTCTTCATTTGCGAAGTATTTGAATAAAGTAAGAAGCAGAAAGAAAGAAAAAAGTAATAATTCTAGAGTTGATCTAGAATCTAAGTTAACTATTGACCCTCAATTGAAGAACATTGAAGATTCTAATCAGAAGATCAATTTTGTTGACCTTTCGAATTCAAAACAAGTAGGAAAAAATGCTCCAAGAACTACAGAACAAAGAAGTGCGCATGAAAATATTTTTGAAATGGTAAAGACTGAAACGATTAAGAATACGGATATCTCCGAAGTTATTGATATTATGAAAACTGTTCCGGTTAATTATAAAGAAATGCTCACTTTTTTAGACGGGGAAATGAAAAAAAGTGTCGCCAAAAGAAGTGATAACCCTGTACCTTATCTGCCTATGGAAATTGAGCAGGATGAAAAAAATGCTTTTCCCTCCCAAATAACTGATTTGGAAAATATTCAGATAGATGAAAATGAAATATCTAATTTTTTAGACGAAGAGATGAAAAAAGGAATTGAAGATTTGAAAAGTTGTTACTCTGATCTGTATTCTGGATCGCAAGTTTTTACTTCGGATTCTAATCTGGAAAATGAAATTTTGCACGATTCGTCTTCACACATGTGCACGTCTTCTATACCTAACACTTTAATCGAAACTCCTAGTGTTGACGGTGTTCATCATTGTCCTTTGTACCATCCTGATACTCAATCCACTTCTGAAATTGTCTTTATTCTTCCGGTTGTTTCCAATTTTACTGCAGCATCAAATTCACTTGATTTAAATTCTAGCTCGCCTTTCCAGCCATATATTGCAGAAGCAACGTGTGATTCTACGAATATAGATTCCGTTTTTAGAAATTTTTGTAAAATCTTACAGAATTCAAATGCTTTTGATACAGATAGTATCAACCTACAGACAGATTCCCCTGATATCACCAATTCTCATAGTTCTTCATCATTGAAAACGTGTCAGAATATAGGATCAAGTTGTTACGATTCTTCAGCTTCAAATGAGATTAATTCAGGTATTCAAACTGCTTCTAACAATATTTCCTCAACAAGTAGGTGTTTAACCTTCTGTAAAACCTTTCAAAATTCAGATTCACCTGTTAATGCCGATTCTCGTAGTTCTTCACGACTAAAAGCGCTTCAGAATATAGGAACAAGTTTTGACGATTCTTCAGCTTCAAATGAAATTGATTCACTAATTCATGCCACTGCAAACAATATTTCCACCATGAGTCACTTTTCAGAAGTAAGTGGTACTAATTTAGAATATACAGAAGCACGATCCATTCCTGTACTTGAAGCGAATATTAAAGAAGTGGACACTATTGATAGAAGTTCTTTCTTTTTGGGAAATTATTTTCAGTTTATGACAGACAGAAAGAATCTTACTTTAAAGGAATGTAAAAAAGTAGGAAGCTGTTTTTTTAATAAGCTTTCACCTTTCCCACGTTACTTGTCAGTGAAATATTTCTGTGACAATGCAGAGGAATATTTGTCTGGTTTCTGCTTCTGTGATTCGTCTTCTCAGACGACGAGATACAAATTCGACGAGAATTTTCAAAACTCTAGCTTCAATGAACTGATTAAGAAGTACGTTTCTTATCAATTGAAAGAAATTGTGAAAGCCTTACCAGTCCTACCGTTCTGCATCAAATCGAATTTGCTTTTTAAAGCTAAGAATTCCAAATTAACCTACTTTGAGAAACTACTTTTGAAAAAAATTTTAAAAAATAATCAAGAAGTTGATTTGGAAGATCTGATTGATCGATTGATATTTGTGGGTATAGTTGTGGTATTTAATGAGCATAAGAAGATAAAGTAACTTAAATTACATCAACAGACTATTTTTATGTATCACCCTAATGCTTATTGTCATAAGTTTAGTCCATGATTTAATTTTGAAATAGGGATAGCAGCATTTTATACATTTTTCATGTAAAAAAATATAGAATAACTTATTTTTTTAGAATTGTTAAAATGTGAATATAAAATTGCTAATAGATATTTTTAATAATAATTTTAATTTCGTATCATCATATAATTGTTAGTTATTTTTTTCTTATGAAACAAACCAATTTTTAATTGTGAATTTTTGTTCGCATTTTTAACTAAATTTTTCATTTAAAAGTGACTGAATAATTATATACCAATTGAAAAATTGAATTTTTAAATGTTTTTAAAGTGTTTTAATATTCTGAATTAAAAAATTTTAAAGAATGAGAAGTTTAAAGGGTTTTCTTAAATATGAGATATTAATTATAAAAAATAAAACTTTGGAGCAATTAAAATCACTTAAAAAAACTTCGATATTTAAAAAAAACAAATTATATGAAAAACTTTACCAGTACAAAAAGATTTACCAAAGAAATAGTATTTTTTTTTAAAAAAAAGTATTTTTAATCGTTATCAGAATTAAACCTTGTAAACTTAAATACGTCCAGTAAATTAAAAATAATGAGTGCATATTATAGATATTTTTTAAGAAAAATAAAATATTGTATACAGATTTTAACTCAGGGTTAAAATAATAAAAATTTTATGAGAATATCTTTTTAACATCTTTAAGTAAATGGGAAAAACTCTTAGCTTTCTTGTTCTATTTTTTAAAAAATTAAATTAATTTTATTCTTTTCGCTAAACAATTGTTGCTTATTTTTAGTTTCTTCCATTTTGTCCTTCCTTTTTTTTCTGTCTTAGAAGACAAAGGTTTTTCTGGAAGAAATGCCAAACATTTTTTGAATATATTTAAGGAATATTAATAACTTCAGTAACTTTAGAATACAGAATATTGTATACATTTTTTGATTCGTTTAATATACGATTTGGTTAATATTTTCATCATTTACTGAGTTTTAAAAACTTATGATACAAACAAAAATGTTATACATATATTCTCATTTTATGGTATGTTTATAACTGTATATTGTGTTACGTTTTGTTAATTTTCTTATTATTTATAAAGTATTAAAAATCTAGGATATAAACAGATCATTATATATTCCTTGATTGGTATAATTAATATTTTAAGTTTCGTTGAGGATCACTGGCTTAGAATATTTTGTTGCATTTTATTTTTATCACTCAATAAACTGTGCTAAAAATAAATTAAGTTTTGAACAGAATATTATTAAACTCTTAGCATTGTATGATGTATATTCTCATTTAAAATTGTATTAATCATAATGAGTTGAAATATGTATTTTTTTCTATGAGAGTTAAAAACTGAAGATATGTATATTATACATATACGCAGAGGTGATTGTGCTCCGGAAAATGTCCGGATATTTCTCCAACCGCGATCCGGAAATTTCTGGAAATCCAAGGTCCAGAAGTTAAAAGAAATCATTGATCACATTTATGTATAAAAATTTGTGCATATTTTATTTAAAAATATTGGAGCTAGGATTTATACTTGGCATCTCTTTCATTTGTAAATATTTTTTTCTGGTAGAATAATAAATGTTATTAGAGATAAAAATAAACTTATACAAAATTATCAGTTTAAATTATGCTGCATAGCATTTCATGTTGCGAAAATATCAATGATTTAAATTTTTAACGACAATAATTTTTTAAAATGCGTCATTAATGATTTCACTCAAGAAATTTTCAAGATTTTTGAGTTCGGCTCACAATCACCCCTGTGTACGATATATTGTCTGTATTATTTGATGAGTATGATAAATATTTTCCCTTGCAGTTCTGCATAGGATTGCAGGTCAAAATATCATTTTTTTCATCATTTAATAACTATAAAAAGCATAATCTTTGATATGATGGTATAAAATCTATTTTGTTTGAATAATCTTTTTAAATTTTGCTCTTAATTATAAGGTTAAATGTTATATATGATAGTTTTTTTTTTATCATATAATAAGTAGAAAACTAAAGTAGTAGTTCATATGAATAAAATAATATTGATTATGTTTGATCCTTGTATATTTTCATTGTTGGTGTTGATTATGATTATTAAAATATGTTTTGTTAATTATTTTTTATTGCTTTAATTATTTTTTGCTGATAGATTGTTACTTTTCATTTCGGATTTAATTAATTAAATAGTTATTCATTTCATAGCAATATTCCAAAGAAAAAAGCATCATTGTAAAGTATGTTGTATTTTTTAATCATCATTTAAAATTACTGTTGTAAACTTATATTTTTCATGTAAACGTATTTTAAGTTCTTTTTATTTTAGAAAATTAAGAAGATTATTTTTATTGCTATATCCATTTTTAAAGGAAAGCTTACTTATGATGTCACTGTTTTAATTATTCATGTTATTTCTTAGAGTTAATTTTGTTAGGTGGCACACTTTATATTGATAGTTGTGGTTGTCCTAAATAACTTTTTTTTATATAATCGTTCACTGACTACGCTGAGGAAGTAAATTTTATTTTTAGCTTTTAATTTCTATTGTAGCAAGTGAACTGACCATGTTGGCGGTATAAACGAATTTCTAGTGGGAAACTTGTGAGAAAAACGAACTTGATAATATTTAAAAATAAACCTTAAAATTCTACTATACTTTCTATAACCTTAAAATTCGTTTTTTCATCGAATCAGCTAACATGATCATTAACCGCATTTCCGCATTGGTCTTCTCTTATATTGCTAACTGTAATAAAATAACGGCATTTTAAAAATAACACTAGATGTAGTTTGCCTCAAACTTATGGCGATTTCATGTTTGAATGATCTATTGTACTACTTGTATAGTAAAGCCGATATTGTTAATCTTGCACTTTTTTACTGTAATAACTATTCTTGCTTTCTGTGTAAATTTTACTATTACAATAAAATTTCAATCAAAAATTAGTTGGTTTTATTTCTTTTTTTAAATTGTATGTCATAGTGTTTGTTTTTAGTGCAAAGTGTCATTAACTCAATTAAACAGTTTTTTTTTCATTATCTGAGCAAAAAGTGCCTTGTTAGAATCGACCAGTAAATTTAATCCCTCTAGATTCTAGTCTGGTTTATATAAAATAGTATCCAATTTTTATTGTGTGATTATCATAACAGTAATATAACTGAATTTCTGTGATCGTTCACAACCGTTGTCTAAAGAGGGCCGTACAAAAAAAATAGCTTTCTAGGGTAGTAACCCGGCAGATTTAATGTGCACCAATTACCATTTACTACATGGATGGCTTCGACCGGCAGGAATCGAACTCGCGACCAATCCCAGCCATACGTTTTTCGTTGACAGTGTAATTTGATTCTATTGCTAATGTGGTACCTCTTCCAAGACTGTATGACGTCACGTTTCGTACTACATATTTTACTTTTCATAATTTTTTATTCCGCTTGAATATTTTTTTTACTCTATTTGCTTTATTATTTCAAGAAAAAATAGCTCTTTTTATCATTCTGCATTCCTCTGATATGAAAAAGAAATAGTTAGTAAAAATATGGTTAAAAATGCAATAGTTATTTTTTTTTATTAATGATTTGATTAATGCAAAACAAAGGAAATAATCTATATCTTATACTCAAAAACACAGTGTACAAATTTTCCTCTCAGTGATTTGGAAATTTCCAGGGTGAGAGAAGCTTAAGTATAAACGCAGTTTTTGTTTCATTATGGAGAAAACTACCATCTTCCTTTTTTTTCAATATAAATAAAATACAATTATTTCATTTATATGATATATGTTATGCTAATTATATATATTATATTAATGATATATGTTATGTTAATACATTTGATTAATTATGCTTTAACTATAAAAGAAACGATATAGGGAAAAAAGTTGTTTTCATATTTGAAATCCATACAAATACTTTACACAGTGCGTTTTACAATTAGTTAGAAAAAAGAAAATAATTTCTGAATTCGGAGGTTTTAAAGATTTGATTTATGGAGTTACATGACTGTTTTATTATTTTAACTTATATATCATTACTGGAGCCTTTTTCTTTCTTTCCAGAAAATATGGTGTGTTTTTATTTAAAATGTAAAAATTAGGGACGTGGCAGATGAATCATATTTGTTTACTATCAAATAACTTATCATTTTACAAACATACTTCATGTTATCTTTTTTTATGAAGGAATCTCTTCATTCGAGTGCTTTCAAATTAAAGTGAAAGTGCTGTAGAAAAATTTAAACTCTATTGAAGTGTTAATCCAATCTTATGAAATGTTAATTCAAAATTATGAAATCCTTTTTTATCTGCAGCGAACCTATAAAAATCGGTTGTCGTAACGTTATATCGTACTGTAGTGAAAATTATTTCCGTATTTTATTTAAAAAAATAGAAATATTCTTTTTGCATTTTTGTATAATTTTCCAGAGGTGAGTATTAAAGTTTTCATTTTCTAGTTTTTATTGTGTTGGAAGTATTTGTTTTCAATTAATGTTAGAGGATATCGAAACTTATAACGCTAAAATATTTCTTCAATCGATATTTTACAATATATCATGCAGGGTGAGTAGCGTTTTTAAAAAGTGCTTAAAGGTGCTTATTTTCGTTTTTTTAAAAGCCCTTAAAAATGCTTTTTTCATTTTGTGTCTTTTTCAAAAACATACTTAATGTTCCCTTTTTCAAAATGAGATATTTTTTATTATGTCGGTTTTTCTTACGAATTATGCAAAAAGCGTTGTTTCCACACTATTTTATTCAATGTTTTCACGATATATTATTAGGATATGCGCACGAATGAAAAAAATGTCTTCCTATTATTGAAAGTTCATATAGATGAACTTTCAATAACAGGAAGAAAAAAAAATTATTAGTGCTCTTATCCTAATTATATTTCAGGAGATTTCCGTATCGTGATATGTTGCAGAATAATCGCCAAGTCTTAGCAACTTCTGGGCAGCTGCCCCCGAGAAGAAAAAAAACATTACAGAAGGGGACCTACTTGAATTTTAGCCACCCACGGGCAAACATCTATTTTATTTAAAAAATTTTTTGCAAGTTTAAAATCTATTTGGCACCTTAGCGATTGTAATTGGTGCGACAGATCACGATACTGAAATATCCCCTTATATTTTTCTTTTAAAATTAAGACTTTAAGAATATTTTTTGAATGCTTGAAAAGTGCTTATTTTTTATTCAAAACTTTGGCTACACACCCTGATACCTTTAGATTCGTTTAATAATTATTTAAAATATCTTGCAGTAAACTGTTTAAAAAACTGATTTTCATATTAGATATTTCTTTTTGAAAAAGAGTTTCTTTCACTTGGGTTGGAAGAAATCTATTTCATTCAAGCGCGTTTTTTTATGGTATTATTGTTAAAAGAAACTTGCGATCCCTGTTAACATTTATTTTCCGTCGAATTTATGGACACCCTGCACAATCGACTTGCTCCTGTTCTGTGAAATAGGCTATGTGAGATAAATTTATTTCAAGAACACTGACATTTTCTTTTTATCTATTTTTAGATATCAATTAAAAATGCAAAGTCAGCTCATTACTGATCAAGGCCTTCTGAGGAAAGCTTCTGGACGCATCTTTCCAGGATTTCAAAAAGGTTTTTAAAATGTTTTTCTTTTCTTTTGTTTAAAGATTTTTTTCTATGCAATTTAAAAATCGATTCGCGACGGATATAAAACATTTAATTTTAAATGACTATATTGAATGCACAGTGATGGTACAAAAATGGAACGGGCCATCAGTTTCAGAATGTTCTTTAAACATTTCTGTGCAACTGAGAAAAATTTCATGTTAATCATCGACACATAATACTTTTGAATGATGAGAGTTAGAAAGCTGTTTGGCGAAACTTTTGTGAAATGGTAACTGTGCCAATATATCATTAAGTTTTTAATATAGAGAGAAAAATTAATTAATGGCGCTCACCTTCTAATGAGGTGACTCGAGTTCGAATGCTAGTGGTGGCTGGTCGATAAGAATCTCGCATCCGGCTCGCACCAACCTCAGTGCTGACATAAAATATCCTCAGTGGTTGACGGATCATCGGTTAGGGTCTCCTTGTCGTCAAGTTGTCCATGTGAGGTTTTCAGGGTTTTTCTCCTCTTGTAACTCAAATGCTGGTTAGTTCCATCAAAAAGTCCTCCAGGCAGGCTATTTCTCTTAACACTTGATCCAAGAGTTCCCGTGTCTTCTGAATTGCGTTCAAAATTGCAAGGCTATGGAGTTGAACATTGATAGTCGTAAATTCTCCAGACTAATAGTCTGAGGCTGTCTGCTGCTATGGTAACAAGCGAGAGCACATTACTAATGGGGGTGCAATGGAAGAAGGAAGGTATCGATTGGTTTACTCAAGCTGACCCATGCCAAGATCAAGACAAAACTATTCACCCCACATCCCTAGTGGTGACTGTTTCTCGTTACCATGGTAACCGCCACGACGCGAGACTGAGGTCTGGTGAAGTTCTCCTGAAAGCCGCACTATACGTAACTAGCTCTGCTCTATGTATGTTTGAGAAAGGGAATACCTTCGCATGTTTCAGAACCGGGTTTTGTTTATACTTAGGGCAAAAAGAGGATTTCATGAAAACGCTTTGACTTTTCGATCGGTTAACAGTTAACTACGTCACAGCAGGAAAATTTGACCAGTTGTCTATTATTTTCCAAGCGTTCACCACAGCTGCAGTAGTGCTGTCAATGAAGATCATCGTTTTGAAAGGACTACCTAATCTGCGTTCTAATTTATCCCTATGGTGCTCTATGGAGGTTAAGATTGGGGCTCTGAGAAATCGTTTTCGGTTCGTTTCAGAAGTCCAGTTTTTGAACATTCATTTCGTCATACCGTGAGCGTGCAAGTTTCGATATGTGAATGGAACACTTGACGGAAAAGAAATGAACTTTTCGAGATATTTCGCCCTGTATTTGAGAGAGCAGCATTGTACAATATCCAAATGAATATCAGAGTTCATGTGTCCAATCACAGAAGCTAAGGGACCAGACCAAACTATGAAAAACACCACCACACCATGGTAGAAGGGTGCCCAAGCACTTTTGACCAGATTGTAAAAATAACTATAAATTCCACAGAATGAAAAAAAATTTTTTTTATATAAAAAGAAACTTCTTAGAGATAAATACAGATTTTTTTGTCCTGTTTTAATCTTTACCCACGACAAAAATGCCACGACTACAAAAAATGCCCGTTTATTTACAGACTTTCACCATATATTTGACGGTTTTAAGTTGTTTTTCACAAAACAACTTTGTTTTCCTCCCTAATTACGAACGAATTAAATTTAGCACACAGATGCCAACATATTCCACTTTGAAAAAAAATTTTTTTTTTCTTTTGGTAACGAAATGTAAGTTATTTTTAGTTAAGTATTTTTCATTTTTTTTACCACTACATAAATTCAACGGTTCAATTTTGTTACCATATCATTAATTTTCATACCAATCAAAAATTCAAACTTTCATATGTAATGCAACTTTATTGGAGTTACCTCGCTGTGACACTTTTTAAGAATGAGCATAATTATCCTTATTCTACAAGTTTTACTGTTTAATTCACTATCAATTTATTAAAATTTTAACAGAAAGTGGAGCTGTTGTTGTTAATTTGCGTCGCACTAGAGCTGCACAATGGGCTATTGGCGACGGTCTGGGAAACATCCCGGAGAATGATCCGAAGACATGCCATCGCAATTTTGATCCTCTGCGGAGGGGATGGCACCCCGCTTCGGTAGCCCGACGACCTGCGCGCGAAGTCGAGCACTTTACGGTAGCACAGTTTAACGAGGACCAATACCGCACACCCCCGGTCCCTACGCAGACTGATCCAAGTGGTCACCCACCCGCACACTGACCGTAGTCAGTGACGCTTGACTTCGGTGATCTGCTGGGAACCGTGTCTTAACGATCAGTCCACTGCGGGACCAGAAAGTGGAGTAGTTGGTGCCCATGAGCCAATTCAAATTATAGTTTTTGGTATACAGTTTAGCTTACCATAAGATAACTTTGTCGTTTTTTTAAATCATTTTACGATTATTTTCTATATTTGCTATTAATTTTCAGCAATTTTATGGTTTTGAACATCGTATAAATAAAATTATTGTCGACTTTATTGTAAATTGATTCTCTATCTGATTATTATCCGTCTTTAGATATATTTTTTTTGGTAAGTTAAATTGCCAGACAGTTTTTTAAGGGATGGCATAGTTTTAAACGTTTTTCTACACTTAAGTATAATACGTCTTCCTTTGAGGTTGACCCGTGTTCGAATCCTGGTTTTGACTGGTCATGCGGTTTCTGAACAACATCCATTTTAAGCAACAGTATTTTTCTGCGAAAAAAATGGTTTTACACTGATATATCATTTAACAGTTTTTTTTTCTGTAAATTTAGCAGATTTTGTACTAACAGTTTCGCAAATATAAATTTTTAAAATCCGGTCATTTATTTTTTCTAATCCTGTTTATAACAGTAAACCGCGAAACAGTAATGTTCTTTTTTTTTCAATATTGCTCTAGAGAAGCATGTAAATGTTTTATTCTATGTAAATAGGATAAATAACTATCAATCTTTAAACTATATTTGCCTAAATATTTTTTCGTACTTTTTACAGATAATGAAGGAGAATGGAAAGGGCCATTTTGTTTCATTCAAGGTGCAGACACTCAACTTGGAATGATAGAAAATTTTAGAAAACAGCCGGGTTGGGGCTGGGAAGAAGATCTTCAGCTAACTAAGTCTGCTATAGCAGCTGTAAATGCTTTAATTCCCCGTCCACGTTTCTTTATCGTTTGCGGGGACATGGTACATCACACGCAAGGTAAGGACATTTTTTCTTCTGCTCTACAAAATTGATTTTAATTGCATTAAAGGAGGAGTTCTATAACATAGAGCAGGGGTGGCGAACCTTTATACACCAACGTGCCATTTTTTCTAAAAAACTGTTTAATGATGTCATAGACGTGCCGTCAAGTAATTTTGACTTCGTGATTATTAGAAAAATAATAATACTAAATACTATCGACTGAAAACTATTTACATTGAAAAAAAATATTTTGCAATGTCTCAGTTATAGGCGTAATTCAACTTGAAGTAACATCAGTGTGACTTCTGTTGCTGCAGATTAGATGACAAAAAACTTATATTAGGTTGTAAGATGTTAGTTTCAGCAAGACTGTTAATTTTATTTGCTAGTTACTTATTGTTAATTTGTTTTTTATGGTTAATTGTTTTTTAGCATTAATTATTATTATTTTTATTAATAGTTGTTTATTATTTTGTTTGTTTTTGTGATTTTTAACTTAATTGTCACATATGCTTCAAATTGTAATAACATTTGTGTAATAACAATTCATAGTGCAATAACAATAGCGATCGGTGGGGTGCCCAAAATATTGTATCACGTGCCATAAATGGCACGCGTGCCATTGGCTCGCCATCCTTGACATAGAGCTAGTGGAGTATGCACCAAATTGTCAAATATGTTACCGTACGTAAGTAGGAGTTAATTTTGAATTGCTTAGTTATCAGAGAGAAAATATATTTCCCGGATTTCTCCTTCCTTATGTAAATAAATGATTTAGAGGGAAATAAAATGTTTGTATTGCAAAATAATGCTCTTTTGAACTGTAGATAGATTTCTGATTATTAAATAAACAAGAAAAATGAAAGCATCGTCCAAGTGGTGAAATTCTCTTTAATGACAATTTTAATAGTATTTTATAGGATCTCTCAGATCCCACAATTGAGGAGTAAACTCACCAAAGTACAAATGCATAATGAACTTAGTGAAAATAAGTGTTCTAAAAAAATATTGTTTTCAAATTATTAAACAGCAGCTGTCGCCATAGTAACGCATGCAATGACGACGCGCGCGCACTGCTTGCTCTTGAACAGGTATTTTTAATCCAACTTTATCATTGTAAAAAAAATCTATATAAATTTTTAACAGGAAAGTAAGAAACTAATTGGTGCAATTTGTGTAGACCAGTTCTATCGGCGTAGTTGGGTAGTCCAAAGTATTTGAAAATTATGAATCAATATTATCATTTGTTAAGTTTCTTATTATGAGCTCTTATAGTTTTTTTTACAGAATTATTTTAAATGTTAAAATACTAATTTTATTTCAATAAAAATTTGCGACTTCATGTGAAAAAATATGTACTGGATTGTCTAAAAAATTCTCAATCGAGTAAATATTTACAACATGAAAGTAGAAGAGATTGAGAGCGTGCTCTATTAAATCCGTGTTATTGGCGTGAGGACTGTTGATGCCCTCGCTACTGTTATAATTTCGTTATAGTTCTGTGCTACCTCTTCGATTAGACGATTTGCGACAAACGAGTCTTTTCATTAGACGAGTTGTTATAATTCCGCTCTACCTCTCCGATTAGACGATTTGTTTTAGACGAGTCTTTGAGTGGACAAGTTGTTATTGTTCCGCGCTACCTCTTCGATTAGACGATTTGCGACAAACGAGTCTTTTCATTAGACGAGTTGTTATAATTCCGCTCTACCTCTCCGATTAGACGATTTGTTATAGTTCCGTGCTACCTCTCCGATTAGACGAGTTGTTACAGAAGAGTCTTTGAATGGACGAATTGTTATAGTTCCGCGCTACCTGTTCGATTAGACAATTTGTTACAAACGAATCTGATTCGACGAGTTGTTATAATTCGGCTCTACCTCTCCGATTAGTTTTAGACGAGTCTTTCATAGGTCTTTATATTTATAGGTGAAGAACACCGGCATGAACAAGAGCAAGATTTTATACAACTATTCAAAGAACTATCCCCTGATATACCATTGGTGTGTGTATGTGGAAATCATGATGTGGGCAACACTCCAACACCCCAGACTATTGCTGGGTTCCGGCAAACATTTGGGGACGACTATTTTACTTTCGTCTGTGGCGGTGTTATGTTCATCGTGTTGAATTCTCAATATTTTTATGATCCTTCACTGGTAAGTCATATAATGTAATATTATTATTTATAAGAGCACAGATAATGTGGTTCATTGGGACCGTAAGAACAATTATTTTCTCTTCATTCTGAGTTTCGACACTGATGATGGCATAATTGTTATAGTACCGAAACGTTCACTTGTGTTTCGTAACTACATTATTTGAGATCTTGTACGCTGTTCTACAGTCTAAAATAATGCGGTTAATAGTAACAAACGAATTATTTTTCTTTTCATGCTGTGTTGGATGGTATACTTCTTATAGTACCGAAATGATCACCACCTATGTCCTCAAACTATATTATTTGCGCATTTATACGCATTTATTCTACCCAAAAATAATGTAATTATAGTAGACAAACGATTAAAAATTTTCTTTTCATTCTGTACTGACATAGCTGATGGTATAGTTGTTACAGCATCGAAACGATCATATGCGGATCTTTATAATTTATAACAGAGTTTCCTAAACTGTGTGTCCCGACAACAATCGGGGACGCGGGGCCAAATATTTTTACACAATGTGTCTGGAAAATAGATTAAGATAAGACAATAACAAACAAAGAAAAAATGAAACCGTTTCGACTCATTTTTAGTGTTGTATTTTATTTCTAAGTTAGCTATCTAATTAAAATTTTCACATTGTTCTGCGTTTCGAAATTGAAACCTTAAAACTGCAATAGTATATTACAGTACAGATGAAGATACTGACAATTTCCTTTATGCGTTTGTCGAATTTGTGCACTGATTACGGGGTCCCAAAAATAGTCATAGATATTATAAGGTCCCCAAAAATTTTCGTAAATATTATAGGGTATCCACACCAAAAAAGTTTATGAAACCCTAATTCATATTCTTCATAAATAAAATAAGCATCTTAAGGTTACACGTTTTTTTTCTCTTCTCTCTCCGTTACCATGGTTTCGGTAAATCATATTTTTTTTCCCATGTGAGTATATCCCAGCTTCTTCCTGAAACATACTGCTGTGAGGAGAAAAAGTACGATTTGTTGTAACTACACTGTTAGAAATTTCTCGGAAAAAATGGTTAAATAACAATATATTGAATGGTTATTTTACCATATTTAATCAAAACAGTCAAATAATTATAAATAAAATGGTAAGCAAACTTTTAAGTTTGAGAAAAACTGTTTATTAACTGCGTTCATCTAATACGGTTAAACAACTAGATTTTTATCGCTCCATCTAGATCCACCTAATGAATCTACTTAGTTCTTTTCAACTGCGTACATATCATAGCCGAGATGGCTTATCTGTCAATCTCATGACCGGCAGAACTGGAGTTCGAATCCTAGTGTTGACACCACAATATTTCCTCCATTTTCTTCAACACATGAAGAAATTCCAGTCTCCGGCACTCTCCAATGCCCATTACCTTACAAAAAGCCGAGCTCCTGTGTCTAGTTAAATAATAATTATTTTTTTACGTTTTTAATAAACCGTATAGTTTTGTATTCATGGTCTTATAACCATATATTTTGTAAATTGTTTCAAAACCATAAAGGAAAAAAATGTTCTTTACCGTAAACTTTACGGTTAATCGGATGGACAGACAGCTGCCAGTTATTTTACCATAATTTTAAAATGAAAATTTTAATAGTGTATGGTAAGAGAGAGAGAGAGAGAGGTAACATGTGGGGAGTGGGAAAATCACGTAACCTTGAGATGCTTATTCTACTTAGATAGAGTGAGGTACTCTCTCTCTCTCTTTCCACGTCTTTAGATAGAGTGAGGTACTCTCTCTCTCTGCCTGTGAAGGCAGAGGGATGCGATTGTTCTTGTTTTTCCAGTGGCGCCATCTATGGCCAAGAATTCGACTGAGGTACTCGAATTATTGTAAAATAAATTTTTGTTCTTAGGTCTTGGGTTTGGCGGAAGAACACAATTCTTGGTTAGACAAGCAATTGGAAGAAGCCAAGACTGGAAAATACAAACATGTCGTTATATTTCAACACATTCCATGGTTTCTGGATACTCCAGAAGAGAAGAAATGTCATTATAACTTGCATCCTGAACTCAGACGAAAATGGTTGCCTAAATTTTTAGAATCTAGTAAGTTTAAGATTATTTTTTGGCTCCTTTTTAGAAAATACAAAGTCACAGTTGAAAATACTTGGAATTTTTTTAAGTAACATAAAATTAAAAAAATGACTGTTAATTTATTTATGGCTGTAAAAGTCAGAATTTTTTTTTATCTTACCATCGACAGTGTTATTGTTACCGTTAAAGCTTGAAAGCCGTTAAACAGGGTGCGTAGCCAAATTATTCAACAAAAAATAAGCACCTTTTAAGCACTTTTCATGCACTCAAAAAATATTTTTAAGCACTTTAAAAAATATCATAACTAGGCAGGGTTTGGAAAGTTTTTGACAATCGACGGTTTTATCTTGTTTTAACCGTCATGTTAAAAAAAATGGCATTGTTTTTGACTATTGTCAAAAACCAGGAAATTTTGAATCGTGTAAAACGAATGGCGTTTTCATACGCTACGAACTGACTATACGTCGAAATAGATTGGGTTGAATTAATTACGAAAACATTGAATAGAACAATATGATCTGTGTCTTTTTGCATAATTCGAAGCAAAAATCAACATAGTAAAGGGCTTTAGCACTTTTTAAAAACACCTAATGAAAAAAGCACCTTTAAGGGCTTTTAAAAAACGAAAATAAGCACTTTTTAAAAACGCCACGCACCTTGTTAATATGTATTACCTAGATAATCTTCAGATTAAATAGGGTAATTTAGTCACTCATGATAGTCAAAATTTACCATAATAACATGATTTTCTGCGATGCTTATTCTTTTAGAGGGATCATAAAAAACTTCTTTTTACAGTATCTACAGGGTGCGTAACGTTTTTAAAAAGTGCTTATTTTTAACTTACGTTTTTTAAAAGCCCTTAAAGGTGCTTTTTTTATTTGGGCTTTGTAAAAAGTGCTGAATTTTCTATTTTTTAAAAGAGATTTTTTTCTTTGCAGTGTCGATTGTCGTTCTAAATTACAAAAAAATGCAAAATTCTTGCAATATTTATCAGAATCCAGTTATTTTATCATGATTATGCAAAGTTTTTGAAAATATTTTTGAAATTTATTGATTTTATGTATATAAATCAAGAACTTTAAACGATAGAAAAAAATAATTTTTATCACTGCACAGGTCCTAATTATGATTTTTTTTTTGGAAAGTGATTAAAAAAAGTACTCAAAAGGTGCTTATTTTTTGTTGAAAAATCTGGCTACGCACCCTGATTTGTATTAAAGTTTCCCAGCATCGATGCAGTATTAATATGTATCAAATATAAAAAGTCAACTTTTATTTGTACATTTAGTACCTATTAAAACTGTACTAATTACTATAATGTCAGTAGTGCTTTTCACCAAAATTAATTAAGCACCATTGGCGTTAATGATAATGTGCAGAATTTTTTTACATTTCTCCTAAACGATTTAGTGTCATTTCTCTATTAATTTTGCTTTATAGTACATAGCATACTTTTTCATTTCAATTAGTACTTATTACCAAAATAAATTAAACATCATTAGCATGACATATTACCTAAATTAATTGAATATTGTGGCTATTTTTTTACATTTTTCCTAAACGAATTAGTGCTATTTCATTATTAATTTTGCTTTATAGTACTTAGAGTATATAGCTATTTTTATTATTTAAGTTAGTACTTATTAATAAAATTAATCAAGTATTATTAGCGTCAATAATTGTTAGGCGATTTTTTTTACTCTACTTTTAAACGGATTAGTACTATTGCTTTTGATATTAATATTTTTTTTAACATAGCTTATTTTTAATTTCAATGAGTTAGAATAACCAAAATTAATTAAGCATCATAAGTGTTAATAATATAGCAAATTTTTTACATTTCTCTATTAATTTTTCGTTTTAGTACACAGCTTATTTTTTAAAAATTTCAATTTGTACATAATCCTAAAATTAATTAAGCCTCATTAGAGTCAATAAAAGTATGGTGATTTGGTGGTGGTGATTTTTACGGTTCCCCTAGAAGAATAAGTACATTTTCTTCATTAATGGGATACCTGTAAGTGACGTAGAGTAGGAGATGCTATTGCGCATGCTCCCGGAGAACGTGAACGGAATTTTCAATAGATCAGTTTGTTCAAGATGGTTGGTGGTGATACGTAAAAGAATATGTACCTTTCTCCATTAATTTTGCTTCCTATAACATACCTTAATTTTCATTTCAAATAAAACCCATTATCAAACGTATCTAAGCATCATTAGCGTCTATAGTATTAAGCTTCTACTTTACGAATTAGTACTATTTCTCCATTAAATTTAATTTTCAGTCCATATCTTATTTCTTTTATTTCAATTACTTGTGATTTTAAATTATTTAGTTTTATAGATTCACGTTTTAAAAGCATAACTATAAACAAAATAATTTCGCGATTTTAGATAGCTTTAGGAATACTGATCTGTTGACGTAATTCGTAAAAATGTTTTTAATGAGAGCTATAAGCTAAACTATGATCTTTAAAATATTTGGAAGAAAGAAAATCGTCTGCAGCAGTTTTATTTTTAACAATGGCGAGTTCTAAGCCAGTGAAAAAAAATTAAAATTTTCATACGATTCTACCGAACGTACTACTTGAAAATTTCGAATGAATTTTAGAATAGGGGGATAAATATGCTCCATGCAGTCACTGTCCAAATTTCAGAATAATAGATAGTTCTTGAGTTATAAGAGAAACACAGATACAGGGACAGACACACTCTACTTTATTGTAATAGATAAAGCTTTTTATACAATAAAGAGTTTAGAAATATATTTTTCTTTATAAATATTGTAAGCTAAAAAAATTATACGGATTAACCCTTTATAAGGCCACTTTTTTCTAGCAATATTATGTTAAAATATTTTTGATATTGAAATTGGTTTATAAAAAGAAATTCTTAGCTAATTATTTAAAATTGATTTGATTTTTAAAACCATTTTTTATTACAAAAGTAGGTGGAGATTTTTTAAAATTTTAATTCTGTAAAGAATTAGCTATAAACTTAAACTTCTGTGCGTACAAATAATCGAGTTTATAATTTCTGTGTTTATACTAACTACAAATCAACTTGATGAGAAAGAATCAAATGAACGAACACCTAAAGCACAAACGAAAACTGCTCACTAGTGTTAGCCTCTCATCTTGACCCCACGCTAACCCCCACTGTTACTCACATTTATGTAAACAAAACATTCTTCAATGATATTTTTTATATTATCTAAAGCAGTCAACAGATGGTCGTCGAAATCATAGATGGGAATATAACTTCTCATCGACATTCAAAAATTCATGAATTAGGTGGGAAGTATACTTTCAACGGATTTATAAAGGATTAAAATAGTTTTCCATTCAAACACAAAACTCTTAAACTTCTGTTGCTATGTTATAAATTACGTTGAGGCATTTTATCTTTTTTCCCAAAAATGTTCCAATTCAGGATATTGAGCAGTTTTTCTATCGATATAGTCATTCATTTTCTTTCTCTGTTCTTCAGAGAGGGCTAACTTCCCGTCTCCAACAGCACCTTTTCGAATGAATTCTCCAACAGTGTGATGACCATTTTCCTCTGCATCCTTCATTATTGCCGCGTATTTCTTAGCAATAGGATTTTCTTCCTGGTACTCCTCAGTAGGAGGCTTATCGGCATAAACTTCCCTCCAGAACTCGTTGATGGTGGTCCTCATGAAATCTAGGCTGCTATAATGCAAAATGTCTTTCAATATTTTCTCATCATCAGCCATAAGTAGATTATAATACTCATCTCCCAGGAACTTGGCACATTTTAGAATGGTTCCTCTTGTGTCCGCCTTCATAGATTCGAAAGTTAAAAACAAAATGTTTGGTNCAGACAAACTCTATTTTATTATAATAGATAAAACTTTTTATGTAAGAAAGAGTTTAGAAATTTATTTTTCTATACAAATATTGTAATCTAAAAAAAATTATACGGATAACCCTTTATAAGGACACTTTCTTCGAACGATATTATGTTAAAATATGTTTGGTATTGAAATTGATTTATAAAAAGAAATTCTTAGCTAATTATTTAAAATTGATTTGATTTTTAAAACCTTTTTTGATTAGAAAAGTAGGTGGATATTTTTCAAAATTTTACTTCGGTAAAGAATTAGCTATAAACTTAAACTTCTGTGCGTATAAAATAATCGAGTTTATAGTTTCTGTGTTTACTAACTACAAATCAACTTGATGAGAAAAGAATCAAACGAACGAACACCTAAAGCACAAACGAAAATTGCTCACAAGTGTCAGCCTCTCATCTTGGCCCCACGCAAACCTCCACTGTTACTTACATTTATGTAAACAAAACATTCTTCAATGATATTTTATTTTATTTTCTAAAGCTGTCAACAGATGGTCGTTGAAATCATAGATGGGAATATAACTTCCCATCGACATTTAAAAATTAATGAATTAGGTGGGAAGTATACTTTCAACGGATTTATAAAGGATTAAAATAGTTTCCCATTCAAACACAAAACTCTTAAACTTCTGTTGCTATGTTATAAATTACGTTGAGGCATTTTATCTTTTGTCCCAAAAGTGTTTCAATTCAGGATATTGAGCAGTTTTTCTATCAATATAGTCATTCATTTTCTTTCTCTGTTCTTCAGATAGGGCTAACTTCCCGTCTCCAACAGCACCTTTTCGAATGAATTCTCCAACAGCGTGATGACCGTTTTCCTCTGCATCCTTCATTATTGCCGCGTACTTCTTAGCAATAGGATTTTCTTTTTGGTACTCCTCAGTAGGAGGTTTATCGGCATAAACTTCCCTCCAGAACTCGTTGATGGTGGTCCTCATGAAATCTAGGCTGCTATAATGTAAAATGTCATTTAATATTTTCTCATCGTCAGCCATAAGTAGATTATAATACTCATCTCCCAGGAACTTTGCGCATTTAAGAATGGTTCCTCTTGTGTCCGCCTTCATAGATTCGAAAGTTAAAAACAAAATGTTTGGTTTGTCTTTGTGTACGTACCACGAATGAAGATTGTCGTAGTAGTCATTGAAATCGGTACCGTCGTTGATGAAAAGGTCAAAGAAAGTGTCGAACGAACCGTTCGTGAAGAAATAAATCGGGAAAAATCGCGTGTGGTGGTAAAAAGAGACGACACAATCAGCAGGATGTCTGGTGACGTAGATGTACTTGGCATTGGGATTGAAATTGACGCGATCGAATGGTAGATGTATTTTGATGCAATAGGGCTTCATTGCTAATTTCATGCCTTCCTCTCCGGTCATTTCTAAAAATGGATTGCTGGAGAAATATTCTTTGGCTGTTGTGCATGGCTTGCCTCGTCTCAAAATGGTAGTCACTATCTGCATAATCCAAGTGGTGCCACATTTTGGATAAGTGGAAACTACAACTTCGTCATCTTTCGGTCTGTAGTTGCAAGCTGAACGGAAGACCTCTGGCACGAAAGAGGGTGGCAAACGAAATCCGTCAACTATTTCGTATCGAGGCTTTTGCTCCATTTCGACGACTTCTACCTAGGAAACAAAACAAACATTGTCAATAACTTGATTAAAAATTTCATTTGCTCCAAAAATATATATAAATAGCAACTAACAGTCAACATGTTTTTAGCGTTTCAAAAATAGGCTCCTATTTTCAAGACTTGAATGAGAAAAAACAAGTTATTTAAACTTTAAAAAAAAAAGCGTAAGGTTTTCAACTAAAAAAATAAAGGTGAGGAACAAAGTTAGAAAAATCACAGTAACCGAGAGGGGCATTGCAGGATGAATCGCATTTCCACGCGATACGGAAAAAAGGTGAGTTATTTTTTATGATAATACATGTCTTGTTATTATTTATGATAATACATGCCATTTCTAGGTCTTAATTTTATATTAGCTTGCATGACACCCGATTAAAAAAAAACTAAACTCAGTGTCGCGACAGCCCGTAGAGGGCTAAGGCCTACTGTGCCCATTTCAGTTTTCTTGACCCTGGGCTATGGAATGCAGGAGCAGATGTTACGGTTAGGTGGTCAGCCGAACGTGAAACCCCCAGTATTTAGTTCCCAAGCATGCTTGGTACTCATTTATCGTCCCACTGAAGGGATGAAAGGCTGAGTCAACGTTGCCCGGCCCGAGGATCGAACCCAGGACCTGTGGCACGGGAGCGCGAAGCTCTACCACTCAGTCACAGGGTGCATGACACCCGATTATTTATATTAAATTTATACCCGAGAAAGCGAAAATCCCGTAAAAGGATATTTTTAATGCTAATCATGAAAAACAATAATACGATCACAATTTGGAAAAAGAATTCAAATAAACAAAATAAAAATGAAATGCTTAAAAAAGTTAATTTATGTGTTTTTCTTTAAAAAGTGGAAAAGCATTAATAAAAAAATCTTTCGCAAAAACTTTCTCGCAGTTCAGAATTTTTCAAATGTTAAAAAAGTTTTGAATTTTAGAATTTTTATTTTTCTCCAAAAGTTATTCCAGTAGGTTAATCGTTAGTTAAGGTAGATGAACTATTTCAAACATACTTCGTCAACATAGTGAATATAGTTTAACATTATGGCTACAAATCATGTTAAACTACGCAAAACATTTAGGAAAAAAAATTATTTCATTATATGGTTATACATTGAAAATGATGAGTTTAATATTGTTAAATTTTAGTTTTTATTCAAAAATATGGTTGATTAATGCCTTAATTTTAAGTTATTTACTGTGCTTATCAATTTCTGATTAAAACAAATAAATTATGAGAGCTATAAAATATTAACTTTCAAGGAATTCGAAAAATTGAAATTAATGATAAATAGAAATCAATAAAAAATAATGCACATTATCAAATAATTATAAAAGATTTGAGGATTTCAGATTTTTTTAAAAAATAATATAAAAAAAAACTAAACTACAAATGAAGCAATTTTTCTAAATGACTATTCAATATTCATTTAAGATAAAATATAAATAAATTAATATAGCAACAAACCAAACAAAATTTTGAAAATACTATTATCCAATGATAAAGAAAAGAAAATTAAGTAAAAATTGGCATACTTTTTCAACTATTTAAATAAATTCCAACTGTTCTAGACGCTCTACAAGAATAAACTATAAATGAGATAGTAAACGTCTCCTTCAACTTTATAATAGAAAAACAACTTCCAACCACGCATGCGTTGAATCGATTAAAATTTAAAACTAATATTAAAGCACCTATATTTATTATTATTCCACGCAACTTGCAAGCATTTTGATATACAATCAGACGATTTTCAGAGTCCCAGACTATTAATCATCATTAATTTATGAGAGAGAATAAGAGCATTTATAAATATCTACAAAAAATAATGATTTTTGATGAGATTACGATTTAATATTAAATTTATTGAGATCGGAATATGAAATTTATTTTCTAATAACTATGATATTTAACAAAAAATTTCGACAGTTTTTTTTTAAAAAAGAATAATTAGAATTTTTGATAGATTAATTGCAATCACGGCAAAATCTTACGTTGATTTCTAGAGTAATAATGAAATATATATATACATTGTCTTTTTTTTTATTATATAAAATGCTTATATTTTTTTTGAAGGGTTAGTAATTTAATTTTATTGTAATTGAAACTTAATTATTGAAACTAATTATTAAAACTAATTATTAAAAACTTATGTTAATATCTATGACAATAATAAAATTTAAAAAAAAAAAAAAACTTCTATAATTTCTTTTATTTAAAATATTAATGAAAAATTTTTGAAGGGTTTGTAATTTAGTTTAATAGCAATTGTTACTTTTATTGCATTTAAGTTCAACCGTTAAGAGCAATTCTCATTAAAAAAATAAAATAATAATAAATAAATATATACAAATTAGCCTTTCAAATATTTTTTTCTTCGTAATTTTGAAGTCCTAAAAACCAACAATAATGTTTTTTTTTTATGCTTCAAATAGTATTTTAATCTTTTTTAATTGAATAAATTATATGTTTAAGAAAAATATAATTATTTTAAAAAATTGATTTTTGAGTAATTAATGTCTCTGTTGTCAGAGTTTTCTAGCATGTATAATGCATTTTCTGGAAAACGTTTTTTTGAGAATAATTTCTTTACGCTAACACACATTACAAAAGAAGTTAATGGTTAGTCGTATATGAAGATTTTGTTTCAGATTAGTTAAGTTTTGAACTATCTCACTAGAACTCAGTTCTTAGTGTTATTTTTTAAAGATATTTTTATCAAGCTTTAAATAAGAATGTAGAGAATTCTTCTTTTAAAAAATCAATATTAAACAAAACATTTAGTTCTATTTTTATATAATTAAATTTTTTTTAAAGATTTTAGCTCAAAACACAGGTCAATACATTATTGATCTAGAAAGTTTTTTTTTGTTGATATTTATGAATTACAATTCGTTGTTGAAATATTAATAATTATGACGGTTTGTTGATATTTATGAATTACAATTCGTTGTTGAAATATTAATAATTATGATGGTTAATAATTATATACATGAAATACTAATAGTTTTTATGCTCAAATTTGAAAAAAAATTCTAAATTTATAAGAATTTCTTTTGATTCAGAATTTCAGGACCGTTACTTATCAAAAATAAAATTTAAATTTTAACTATGGCTGTGTTTTTAAAAAATTTTTTTTGTCGTACTCAGTCGGATACTTTATTTTTTCTCTCAAGGTATGAGGTATTCATATTTCAGGTTTTCCTTCTCTGTATTATATGATAATATGAAACAACAGACAAGCAACTGAAATATTTTTAATAGTTATTAAACTTTTTTTGAAAATCGCCAATGAGGCGAAATTTTTCCAAGATGGATTTTATCAAAATCAGTGCCGTATTCTTATTTTTTTTTGTAAACTTTTATGGGCATAGATAATGCAGCCTTAAAGTAAGCTTTTAAATATCAATAAATATAGACCACGAACGCTTTTCATTTTTCTCAAAACTGTTGCTTTTCTCCATAGTGACATTTTGCACCATTTTCATAGTTCACATAGGGGTGCTGGTTAAAGATAGACTAAACTTGTCCTAACAGTCATGAATAATTTTTACTAACTCACAACAGTTATTAAAACGGTATATTATTCGCAAAAAAATATCATTTCACGTGACACGAGAACCTTCGAAAAACAACCTTAGAATATTAAGAGAATATTCGGGATTTTTAGAGGAATTCCTTTCTTCATATTTTTGTACTCAAGCTTTTGATTAAGATTCTTTTTTGGAATACAAAAGATAGCCATTAATACTTTTTGCTTTGAAACAGTTTTTATATTTTGGAACGGTACATACATTGGTGAATTAGAGCCACAATGGCTCAGAGGATAGAGCTTTCGCCTTCCAATGAGGTGAACCGGGTTCAAATCCCAGTTGATACGAATTCCTCATCCGGCTTGCACCGACCACAGTGCTGACGTGAAATATCCTCAGTGGTAGACGGATCCTGGGTTAGAGTCCCCTACCCATCTTCCTCTCCATGTAATGCAAATGCGGATTAGTTACATCAGAAAGTCCTCCACGAAGGCAAATTTCTCCCAATACTTGATCCAGGAGTTCCCTTGTCTTCTGGATTGGGTTCAAAATTACAAGGCTACGGAGTTGAACATTAGTAGTCGTAAACCCAAAAATTGTGTCTGCTGTTCAACGACGGTTATAAAATAAACTAAAATCATTAGCCCAACAAAGAAAAAAAAAACTATAAAAAAGCATGCTATTAAAAAAAAAAAAAATTATCTAAGACAAATTGTAAGAGGACATAATGAGTGAAACTTAAAAAATTTGTACTGAAATCATTAACATAATAGAAAGTAAAGCTAACCTTGCAATAAAAGAGCGCTTAAAAATAACTATGGAGGCGATGTCACTAACTCCACCCCATTCCCTTTATAAGAATATTCAAACAGGAATGTTTTAATAATTTAAATTATTCAAACAGTTTTTGGAGATGATACAAAAATTTGTACTTTGTATGAATGTTAAATTTAGTTAACAATGAATCTAAATCAAAAATAAATAAATTTATGCTATATTATAAATTATTTTTAAAAATACATTAAATAAATTTTATTAGAATTGTATTTAAAATAAAATGAATTAAAAAAATAATATATTTAACTAGGTTTTATCAAAGCACAAACTATTTAAAAACTCTATTTCCGTCAATCCTGACAAATCTTGATAAATTTTATTTTAAATAAAAAGTATTATTTGGCTAAAGTACGTTTAGTTCACTTTTTTCTATTTCATCTGCGGTTTTTAGATTATTCTACTGTCCAGATAGATTTACATTTTTCCCCGGAAAAAGTTCTACCCTTAATAATATAGGACAATTTAACTTTTCTTAATATGGACCATTTATTGCTATGCATTATGAGCTTCAATAAAAGTTCAAATAAATGACATAAAGGTAATTCGAACAGTAATTTATCTACAGACAAATTATAGCATAAAATACAAATTTCAGATTTCAAAACGGTTAATATAATAGGACTAACATTAAAAGA